CCTTAAATCCATACGCCAAGTTTCTGAATTTTGTTATGGTCGTCCGTTTGTGGGCGGGCGGGCAAGGAAGGCGTTTGGGACGTAAAGTTGTTGCTCAATAGGGCGTTATAGAGGTACCCTCCTTGGAAAAGGCTTCACGCAGCGCCTGTCCGAGGTCACGGAATTCTGTTAAGCCAGTTGTACAAATCCTACACCTGTATAGCGATTTATCGTGCCAACTGCCTTTAAATGCACCCAAGCGCTGCAGCCGATTTGCGATTCAGTTTGTTTGGCTTCGCTTCGACAGCTAAGACTGCGTTCAGACGTTAGCGATATTGCAAGTCGACACGTCACCGTTGTAATAGCGGCACAGTGGGGTACTACTCTCCTGTTCTCTACAGCACATCAGAGAAAACTCCGATCGATACTCGTCTAAGGCTGCGTTCTCGTCTAACGCATTGGGAGGCTGTTTGAACATTAACGCGAGGACGCGTCATCGCGAAACCTGAACGCAGTCTAGTAATTGCGTGAACACCACTTCGGAGTATCCTAAGGCTTTCTGTTCAACGTGCAATGAAATGAATAATTGTGGTATCATTAGGACTTACCGTTGCACCAGCAATGGTCATCAGTGCGCCAGTAAAAAATGTCATATAGTATCCGACTGAGATTCCATGCCAAAGCGCTGACAACGCATAGGTGGCAAAGATTCTGATCCTGTAATTCAGACGGCACTAACGACTAACATTCTGTGCTGTAATGTGAAGTTGCTACCATTGGCAGTCGAAGTAATGACAGAACTCAAGTAGAAGTATAACGAAAAGCTAAAAGGATACAGTTGCCAACAGATCCATTCAAACCTTCCTATTTCTTGAATTTCCTTTCCTTTTTCCCCTACAGTGGCAGTATTCCAATCATAGGCCTAAATGAAGCTCTTCCTTCACGGGACGGCCGCATTGACAACTCAGCTCACTAGCTGATCAATTAGGCTCCCTCTCTTCTTCTTTCAGGTATCCCCCACCCCCACCTCATGAGAATAGTTACCTACAGGAGGCGCCGAGCATCTATGGGTTCAGAAGGAAAACAAGGAAAGCTGACCAGTCTATTCTAAAGATAAACTGTCTAAAGACAATCTGCGAAGAGAGTGCATACAATGTGCGGGAGAACAGGTTATATGCGAGACATTTTCGTCACTTGAGTGCGCGTGGAAAAGAACCTGAAGAATAG